TAAGTAACCCTAAAAGGCAGGCAAGAGAGCTGCAACCACATCATTCTGCAATGTGAAGCTTCTCCAAGTATGTCTGCTTGAAGTGTCTCTAAATTCAGCTGCAAATTTTCTCGCCTTTTTAACGAAATCATCATTGAAATCTTCGATAACTTCCAAGAGTTTTACGCCGAAGTCTAAATAAGATTTGTTTATTTCGAACCCTTTTTTATACAGAATCTTTAAAATGTGCCTTATTTTACTAGAGTATGCCTGAAGAAACTCTGCCCAATTAGGAAGAGTGTGGCGCAAGGAAACTTCCTCAGCTTTCAAGATATAATATTTGTAATTTCTTAATTTATAAGCATCCCCTTTCGAATTAATAAGAATTTTACGAGATTGATTGGTGTAGTCATCGATTTAAACAAATTTATAAGATAATATCTTGATAAAAAATTTATAATTAATTTAGTCAGTTCGATAAATTTTACAAAGAAATAGACTAGTAGATTATCAAGATTTTCATAAATTACTTTAAATTTAAAGACGATCACCTACATTTTCGATATTACTGGGTATGCTGCAAAAAGACTAACTCTCGAAATTTCATTTCAATTTTAATAAATCGGGCAATTTTTTTTTTTCTTTTTCTTCTTCAAAATGTTCAAAACGAACTTGCAATAATTAACGTCATTCTATTCGGGCCAAGGCAGCGAAAGGCGCCTGGTTCTGGTCCCCCCAAATACAAGCATTTTTGTGTCGTCTCCAATGCACGCTGCACACAACAAGACGCCGATTTCTCCCAAATCTTGATCCGAAGAGCGAACCATTTGCAATTTTTATGCTCGAAACCTTTAAATAAAATAAAATAAAAGAAAGAAAAGAGTTTGGTTGGCCTAATTTTAGCCAGGGAAGCATCAAGAGAACTGGCTAACATTTAGAGATGTGTCACATGTCATGAGAAGCAGGATAGGGAGACATTGACAAAATGTGCTAGGAGAAATGCCAATGTTTGGATGACAATGATTTTCTGTTTCTATCTACTTCTTTCTGTCTTGCTTGTTGGATTTTTTGCTCATTTTTTTATAAATAAAATTCGGGATAACCTAACACGATGCATTTATTTTTTTATTTTTCTCTCATTTTTGTTACAAAATTTAACCTAATTTTTCTCGCGGGGACCAAAATGTTGCGGAAAAAAATAATAATAATTGGATGAACGCAATGCGAAATCAAATTTGAGATTTTACCCGAATTAAATACTATATATTTTGAAAACAAATGCAAATTGAATCAGGGAGAGATCAAACTATGACAATACAAAAAATTTTATGTGATTCAATTAATATATTCACCATTGTCTTTGCTTAAATTGACCAAAGAGATGAACAACTTGAGGCTCTGAAATTCAGGACGTATACATACATTTACATATATATACACACAAACACACACATAAGGCCAAGATTTTTCAAACATGTCATTTAAAAAAGTCATGTCAAATTATTTTTTTCCTTCTCAAAAGAGACGAAATTAGCATCTCTGAGTACTTTTCTTCTTTTTTTTTTTCTTTCTTTCTTTCTTTTTCTTTGTCGACTAAATTCCAAAAAACTACAGATTTAACGGATATATAGGGAAATGAATTGTCATTTTGGAAAGAAGTGATCAATTATGTGCATGGTTGAGTATTCCACACAGCAACTTATACTCCATAATGTATGTATACATCTACATAGAGATGAATATATATAATCTAAAGATATATAGGGAAGACACTACATATAGTTCTAATCAAGTATATGAGCAATGATAGTACGTTCGGGAAAACGTAGACAGGTAATTAACATGTTGCAGAGCTAAACGTGCAGTATACATAATATATATATATATATATTA